GATTGGGTTTCCAATAATAACAAACATTTCTAGCTTGGTCAACTTGTGAAGCTTTGTTTGAGTGGCGTTGGAGTTTTCCTTGAGTTTTAATGGATGCTTCTCTATAACTCAAGATGTTTTCCCTAAAAGCTTGGCATCTTTGAACTTAGTTGTTGAGTCTACCTACTCAAAGCTTCTTAAGTTAGCTACCCTCTGTGAACTTAGCTAGTCGAGTTTGTCTTTTGGAAATTCCTTTGCGCAATTTTGCCTCAAGGGCATACATTTCAACTTCTCAAAAATCATAATATTGTCTTAGTTGATCAAGTTGGATTCCAATAACCTAAGTTCAATAACAATGGGTGCTAATTAACCTTTTAAATTTGATTAAATTTAATTGTATCAATACATATATTTTAGCACTCCCAAGATTGATATGTACACCAACCTAATATAAATAAATATTGAGCCAACCCATCAACATGGCAAAGTTATAAGACTTTTCATTGTGCTTTAGAGTTTAGATTGTAACTCCAACTATTATCCAACTCTATTTTATGCTAGGAATTATAAAATCCAAATTAAAAAAAATTCATATTATGGTAATGACATTTTTTCAAAGCTGATTGGACTCTAATATAATGCACGAGTTTAATAAGCCCACTTTTAGATACAACAAATAGCCGCATAATAAATTATTTAAGCACATATGAATAAGTGATTAAACCTCGAAGAAAACCAATTAAATTAGTGCATGATATGGATGATAACTTATGCCACTTCAAATATAAAAATAAAAATCATATATAAGTCTAATATGCTAAGGCATTAATATACTATAAGAGAGTATACACTAATACAAATATACATGTCAGGTTCCAGATGTCCTAAAGAATAGTCTCTCATAAACTAGCATTAATATATGCCTCTAGGAGCCAATGCACTATGAGGGGACCCACTCCAAATAGTGGCATAAACTAGACAAAAATAAAATAAAGTAATTTATATATAAATAAACATGTTTGTGAGTAAAATTAAAATTCAAAAAGAATTTATGCTCTCATTATTTCTATGAGTTTTTTAGTTATCTCTAATAAGTTTGAACTATATATGGCAATAATTTGTGATTTTAGAACATTTAGATATGATAATATGATATGTCCTTTATCAATAGCTACCACCAAATTGATATTTAAAACTAGACACACAACTACCCAATATCTTTAAATCCTATAGACTTTTAATTATTATACGATTTGATGTAAAACCTATAAGATTTGAGCATGGTACTCTAAATACTTGCAAATGAATTAAATCAAGGATTTAGTAAATCCCAAGAGTGGATTCAAAAGGGAAGGATGGAAAGAAAGATGAGAATTATCTTCGTCAGTTGTCATCACCGAGAGTCACCACCAAGAGACCAACTGTCACCAAGGAAAAATCACACAAGAGAGAGGGAGCAGTCGAGGGAGGAAGAAGATGAGTGTGTTTTTACTTATGAATACATGAGTTAAATTAAGCATTTCAATGGATTATTAGTTGAAATTTCAATCTAAGTTTTTTGGATGAATTCAGTTGGTAAAGCAGTCAATTTCAAGTAGTTTAGGAATCGACTGAAAACCAATTTAAACTGGCTAAAAATTTAGTTGGCAATACAAACCCTAAACATTAGCTGACCATTCAATGGATAACCAACTGACTGAAAAATTCAAGCCATATTACTGTCGATATGGATAGCCCATCCTGTAATCTGACCAACAACCTACCCCAAAATCTCTCTCAAACGAGAGCAACTCAAACTCTCTAAAATGTCTCTTATTTTATAAGAAGATTGGGAGGGAGATAATATCCGAGGAGAAATAGTGGGGAAATAAGAGTGCTCCCGGATAAGAGATTTTGAGCAAGATAAATGAGGATTTTTGGGAGAGGGTAAAATGAGGTGACATAGTGGTAAACATGCGACTTTTCTAAATTTGTAGGTTTTAGTTTTATAAATATTAAGAATTAGATGTTCAATATGTTATATAAGATATTTCGGTGGTATGTATGTAAATTCCCAAAATAAACTCTATTAAATTTATGTATTAAAGATTATTTTTAAATTTATTGAATTTATTTTAAAATAGCTATTATTTAAAATTTTATAATATTTTATATGATAGATCAATTTCTGAGCAAATATAACATATTTGAATTTTATTACTAAAATTTTACCATGATTTAACAACTTAATCTTTAAGATCTGTCTTGGTATGACCTTCCTATTCTTTGGTGCAGTGCTTCATTTCCTTCTGAGGTTTTGCATTTGCACTAAAGACATACTAAGTAACTTGTAAGTTGGTATTTAACAGATTATTCTTTATATATATTCCAATAGTTATATAATAATAGTTATATATAGATATACACACACACACACACACACACACACACACACACACACTTAGTTTTGGTATAACTTCTTTTTATCATGTGGCTTTTTATTTATAAGCCAAGATAGTTCAAATTGCCTTGGATTACTAACCGGCTAAACTTCATCTCTTTTTAGATTTATTATATCTTCTTTCATGCTCTCAAATTATGAGTTGATTGTTGTTTCTATAACAATTATGTTCTCAGATGATTTATTTTGGGGTTCTATTGATGATTTTTTCACCTACTTGTGGGCTTGAGATAAATCACTATTATTACAAGAACATGCAAATTTTACTTGGAAGCTCTAAAATAAAGGACATGCTATGAGAAAGTGATGTCTAGTAATATATATACATACATATATATATAGTAAATGTTGTGTGCGTTCCTGGTAGAGCAGTCTCTCTGAAGGTTGTAAGTCCCCTCAGATCACGGGTTCAAATCCCCCCGTGTGTAGGGTGTGGTACTCGAATATTTAACGCACCTAGGGACTGTCGGGGCTCATCTAATAGCCTCCGGCCATATATATATATATATATAGTAAATGTTAGAAGTACATTATGTGTTGGAATCCAATTCAGTTTTGAGAGTAATAATTGGCTACTCTATTGAATGTGTACCAATAATATGTTCATTGATAGTAAAAAGTATATAAAATAAGCTTAAGATGCTAATGCATTATGCAACTTAATTGGTAAAGTAAGGTCTATTTATTCAAAAGCTTTATTGGTTGGTCAGCTTACTACATTAAAGACTTTAAAAATAAATTATACAAATAAAGTTTTTGATAATAAAATTGACATCTTAAATAGTATTATACAATAATGAAATATGAATGAGAACATATATAATTATATGTAAAAAAGAGAAAATTTTTGTTAAAATAATAAAAATATTATCTAGTCAACCTAAGCTAAATACTTTAAGTTGAGTTCAACATGAGTTGTCTTGTAAGATCATTTATCAACATACTTATCATCATGATACACATATGAAGATATAGTATAGAAATAGACATATTTTACTTTCTTATGTGTAAAAACACAAAATTTTGAGACTTACAGAAATTTATAATCTAATAAAAAATAATCATCATATTATATAAGTTTAAATTTTAATTTAAACTATACACCCAAAGGTGAATTTACTCAAAGGGACATCTTAGAGGCATGATAGATAGGTTCAAGGATGGCAACACATCCACTAAACTCATAGTAGATAGAGTCTCCAACCAAGTTTCAAGATGCTTACCCATCAATAAGTCATACTTTTGCTAATCTATCATAGAGAAGCATCCACAAAGGCTTAGGGTGACTCTACCTCTCAAACTAGGCTAAAATGGGCCACCAATTATCAAATACCCAATCCAACCTATTTAAGAACTATGCAACTTCTCTAACAAGTCAGATATTCAACCCAACTTCTCTAACAAGTTATCTATTCTTTATTATGTAGCAACCCTGTTGCTGCTTGAGATTCTAGATCCTTGCATATAAATAGGAGATCCCTGAGATAGTCAATGGTTGACATTTTTTATTCTCTCTCCCCTACTATAATAAAAGCGCAGTACACATAGTTTGTTTTTCTGTAAACTTGTTTCTTTCACTTCATCTATTTCTTGGCATTGGGATTCATCAAGCACTAAGCGGCATATTCATTCATGGCATATTCATATTGATTTATATAATCATTTAATGAAATTACATTGAAAATTATATGATCATTTGTGTGACCAGAAGCATCCATTGCAATGTTTAATATTAAGATCATTTGTAATTCTGAGGAGTATTATTACATTTTAATTCTTCAACACTTGCATCACTGATAGAATTATTGATACAATGATATGCTAATCAATCATCCATCAAATATTCTATTGTCTCATTGTAGAGTTATTGCATGTCCTTTAAAATTAGTTTACTTATGTGGAATTATTTTTTGAAGTAAAGCAAGCATATAATGTTAATATTTAACATAGGACAAATATGTTTTTGACTGGGTTGAATGGTATGAATATAGCCTCCAGGAAGTCACACCCTTACCTTCATTATAGCAAAGATTACCAACTTTAAACCATATCTAGAAGACTTGGTAAATTACCAGAGAGATAAATAAATAAATAAATATATTGTTAAGGAATATTCCTACACCCTACATCTGAAGTTGAAAGTTCTAAAAGAATCATGAATTTGATTTTAAAGAGCACAAAGCAATCAAGCCTCTCTCTTTTGCTTAAAAAAATGTTTTTTTTTTATATGGAGCTCAAGAGATTTCCTTGAGATTTAAAGAATACATCACTTCAAATCTTCAGAGTAGGTTTATTATTTATAAGAGATAATCAAAGTGTTATGAGAATGATTAATCAAATATAGCTCTTCATTAATCAAACTATATCCATCAATTAATAAATCAGTTTAGTGGAGGCTTGCAAAGGATTAATGAAAATATGTTGCTGAGGTTCCCTGAGAAATAAAAATTATGGAAGTTTATAGCACCTAATTCTTATGCATTCACTTCTCGCACCGCACCGAAACTGAGTTTTACAAACTAAACAACTTTTCCTATATTTGAAAAGATGTATGAAAAGTTGGATTACACTTTTTCTTATAAATAGGGCACTAAAATAAATCAAATAACAGCTTTCTTATAACGACGGTACTATAACAAATTTAATTTCACCAACTTCCTCAAAATTCCCTCTAAAGAAATAGTCTTACATGGTAAAAATTGTTAAATTTGTAAATGTATTCTTCCATCTACAAGCATCCAGATAAGATTTCCAAAACAAGCCAACATCTCATGGCAGGTGAGCTTGAGCACCAATAACATCAACAAGCATAATAACGAGCTCTTCTGCCATTTTTAATTCTAAAAATCTAATAATTCGCACCAACTGTTTCGCTCATTCACACATGATGCCTTCAAAAATGCCTGCTGGGACAGATTTGTTCTTCAAGATTATAGCATTAATAATTCTAACGCAGTTAAAACTGGCTAGATAAAGAAAAACGTCTCAGAAAGTAAACATAAAGAATATAATAATTAACACCCTTTTTATATATATATATATATATATTATAAAAAAAACATTACATAACAAAGTGGTAGATCTATAATAAAAAATTGTCTAGCGAGGATAAAAATAACACAGTAGTATAAAAACATTACCATATCAGGCTGCAATAAAATTTATTTCTGAGGGCAAAAAGCATTTGGGGCCTGCAGAAGATCGTCAATCTGAGACTGAAGATGCTGAATGGAAATCATGCCAAAATTCTGCGTTTCTTCATGCGAGTATTCAGACTTGATCAGTGACTGTAACTGAACATGAGCTTCCACAATATTTGTTCTGCAGCAAAAGTGACTTTTAATTTTTCAAATCCATAAACAACACAGTTCTCTCTAAAATAATAGGTAAAGTGGCATAAATAAATAAAGATATATATATATATATATTGATTGATTGATGTTTAGATGTTAGATATGTAAATACATAGGAAATGAGTGGTTTGTATGTAAATCTTCATAAATAATATTGGCAGTGATGCAATAGCTCGTTATATCTAAAAAAAGCACAAACAATATTGATGATTTACCACTATATTCTGTTAATAATGAGTAGGGTTGCGTATGTAGATAATGGTTGGAGGGCTGTGGTGGCTACTTCGTCTTCCAAATTTGGGAAATTTCCAATAAATTTATATATAATACATATGCTTCGGACACGGGCCAGTGAAGAACTCAAGGGAGTTTTGGTCCCGCACCTACTGGCTGGACCAACCGGGCCTCAAAACCCCCACCCCCCTTACTATTCCCCCTTCCTTTTCTATTACTCTCCTATTCTACTCATTGCCTATTCTATGTCCTTTCTTTTTTATTTCTTTCTTAGTCTAATCCTAATTTATTCTATTTGCTAATCCCTATTATATGTATAAGTGTTCTTTGATTAGGTTAGGGAGTTTTGACCTTTTTTTTAGTTTAGAATCCTGCCACCGACGTTATCCTCAGATGATGGGAAGGAGCTCCTGTTGTAACTCGTTCAAGGTGGTGATTATCTCCGCTTTTCTCGCAACTTTCAACTTACGTCGTCTTCCAGCACATCCAACAGACACCCGACCATCTTCCAGCAGGCCATCAGCCTTCTCGTGCTCTTCCTATTGCCGTCGACACCACCCTACATGTTCCAGAAGGCCGCCGACCCTCTTTGTATCCTCCAGCAGACCGCCAGTTAGCTCCTCTCCCTTCCAAGCAACCGTACGCACCATTGTTGCCTCCGATCACCCTCCATCAGCCCATCAGCCGCTACCAGCTCCCGTCCAACCATTGTCGACTCCTCCCGACACTTCCTATCAAACAGCCAACCTTCCATCACCCTCCAACAGGCCAGTTGTCATCTCCAACCTCTTCCAGCAGCCCGCAGCCCCAGCAGTCCTTCGTCCAGCAGCCACCCACACTAGTTGCTCCCTATGCTTACATCTGCGGACCACACCTACCTCACCACCGACGTTCGCAGCCATTCTTCTTATGGTATGGCCGGAACTTGCTAGTCTTGTCGTCGATGTCTTGTTTTTCATTATTGTTTGAGTCTTGATTATAATTCTAGTTGTTTGCTTATTAATATTTGCTTTCGACATCATGAGTTAACTCCGATATCATTTGGTATCAAAGCTAGTCTAAACCTAATCTTATCCTTAGCACAACGGCTTTAACAACACTTGTTCCTTTAAGAATGATGGAAAACTCATTGAGTTATTACCTGTGAAAGATGCAAATGAAGAGGGCGATACAGAGGAAGTATCAATCCCACGGAACACCTTTTTGCAGTCAGTTCGAGATGCCCCAATCACAATGACATTAATTTTCCTAGAGAGAGCTGAAGAAGAGGAGAGCGAGATACCAACACTACTATAACTACTGCTAATGGATTTCCAGGATGTGATAAATTGCAACCTTCCAAAAGAATTAGCACCACAGAGAGACATTCAACACGCCATAAATCTCATAACAAGATCAATATTATCGAATCAACTCACCTACACATCGAGACCTGCAGAGCATGAGGAATTACAGTGGCAGGTGCAAAATCTCGTCATAAGGGGATGAGTAAAAGAGAAAGCATCAGTCTGTGCGTTGCTCGTGCCTTGATGGTGCCCAAAAACGGATCATGACGGATGTGTATCAACAACAGGGTCATCAACAAGATCATCATCAAGTACCAACTCCCTATCCCTCATTTGGATGATCTCTTGGACCAGTTATGCGGAGTGAACATCTTTTTAATGATTGACTTACGCAGTGGATACCACCAGATACGGATGAGGCTAGAAGATGAGTGGAAAACTACTTTCAAAACACAAGATGGCCTATACGAATGAATAGTTACGTCTTTCGGCTTGTTAAACGACTTGTATGAGATTAATGAATCAGGTACTTCACGCCAACATCAACAAGTTTGTGGTGGTCTACTTTGACGATATTTTGGTATACAACTATTCCGAGGAGGATCACTTACAACACCTGAGGGAAGTGTTCGAGGTACTGCGAGCAGAGAAACTATATGTCCATTCAAAGAAGTGTCACTTCAACACGAACTAGGTATATTTTTTTAGGATATATTGTATCTTGGATGAACCCTACAAAGATCGGGGTCATTATAAGCTAGGCCACACTACTGCGATTCACCGAACTGAGACAATTTCTGTGCTAGCATCGTTTTGTAGGCGATTCATCTTCATCACTATCATCGTCTTGCTAACGGGACTTTTTGGAAGAGGAGTTTACGTGGGCAGTTGTCGCTCACACTAGCTTCGACACTGAAGGAGAATGTGACTCAAATACCAGTTATAACATTACCAGATTTCAACCAACTATTGGAAGTAGTGTGATGCATCTGGAGTGGAGATAGAGGCGGTGTTGAGTAAGAGGGTCACCCCATTGCCTTTTTCAATGAAAAATTGAATGATGCCAGTAGAAAGTACTCAAAATACGACAAAGAATCTTATGCTATTAAAGAATCTCTAAAAAGCTAGAGTCATTACCTACTGACGAGCGAGTTCACACTGTTTTCAGATCACAAAGCCTCGAAATTTCTCAACAGCCAGAGCAAATTGAAGGGCTGACACATACCTGGGTGGAGTTACTAGCATCATTCCAATTCATGCCTAAGGAAAAAGCCAGAACCGCATAGCAGACGCACGACTCACTGAGTCGTCACCTATTGATCATGTCAATGCAACTCGAGTTGTGGTTTTTGAGGTATTAAAAGACTTGTGCGAGGTAGATGAAGGCTTCAAAGAAATTTGGGAACAATGTTAGGAAAAGCCGACTTGGTAGTAGTATCGAGCGGACGACTACTTGTTCTACCAAAGTAATTTATGCTTTCCTAGATGCTCACTAAGAGAGGCCATTATTCAAGAAAGCCGCAGCGGAGAACAAGCAGGGTGTTTTTGCAGGGAGAAGACTGACGCCCTGGTGAGGGAGCATTTTTTTTTTGCCCCAACTAATGAGAGATGTGGAGTGACATATTAGGCAGTGCATGATTTGTCATCTTACAAAGACGAGAGGCCAGAATGCGGGGTTGTACACTCCATTGCCAGTACCAGAGATATCGTAGGTGAATATTAGTATGGACTTCGAGGACGCAAAGGAACAATAACTCTGAAATGATTATAGTGGACCGATTCTCGAAGATAGCGCATTTCATACCTTGCCACAGGACGTTGAACACGTCTCATATCATCGATTTATATTTCAAGGAGATCGTAAGGTTGCACGGTATTCCCAGGATTGTTACCTGCAACAGAGATGACAAATTTCTGAGCCACTTCTGGAGGACTTTGTGGGTGAAGCTAGGCACCTATTCAGTTCAACAGTTCATCCACAAACGAACGATTAGACAGAGGTAGTGAACAGAAGCCTATTAAACCTCCTGAGATAATTCATGGGGAAAGTATCAAGTAGTGGGAACTCATTCTAACTCAAGCCGAGTTCGACTACAACAAATCCAAGAGTCGGACTACAGGACACACTCTGTTCTAAATTGTATACAGCTGCAATCTGCTTACACCACATGAGTTGGTACTACTCTTGCCGACATCGAAGGTCAGCAAAGATGCTACAAAGCGAGTTCAAGAGATTCATAAACTCCACGAGGAAGTTGGAAAGAAGATTGCTAGCCAGAACTGCATATTACGCACAAACGAAAAAATTCCACTGCCAGCGTTTTCCCATTCTGAGGGCTTCATCCGACAATGATATATCTAGATATATATATATATATGTGTGTGTGTGTGTGTGTGCGCGAGCGCGCGGGGGCGAGCGTGCGCGTGCAACCGTGGCTAGTTGAAAGGCAGCTTCGACATAAGTCCCCTCTGCCTCGGGTTCAAGTCCAAGTTGGGTCGAATTAGCACATATGAGGGATCAGTAAATAGGGAACAGGATGATAGGTCCACCCTAAATACCGATTCCTTGATAATATATATATATCAATGGCGTCGACGGCAGCTCTGCTATGGTTTCGCCCATTGGCGATTCCGTGCTTCATTCCTTCGGTTTCACGCGTCACTTGTTTCGTCGGGCCCAATGACGAAGGGTTTCTTTGATTCCTTCGGCTTCGAATTTGTTCTTCCTCCTTTTATTGTTGTCGCAAGGCTCTCGTCACTGTTACGAATAGGGTGTGGCTGTTTCTCGCACGTCATCCTTCTTCCTTCGGCACATCACTGTTACGAGGCTTTGTTAGGAAGTTTTGATTTTTTTTCTGAGTTCAAAATTCCACCGCCAGGGTTTTCCCCTTCTGAGGGTTGTATCCGACAACGGAAGGTGCTCTGGCTATAACTCATTCAAGGTGGTGACTATCTCTATTATTCTAACTCCTTTAAACTGATGTTGCAGCCTTCCTGCACTTCAAGTAAACCGTCGGCCATTTTCCAGCAAACTGTCAAACATTCTGGCACTCTTCCTACTATCGCTGACGCCACACTACATGTTTTAGCAAGCCTCCAGTCAACTCGCCTCCCTTCCGAATAGTCGTTTGCCCTATTGCAGCATTCGACCAACTCCCAATAACCCGTTAGCTATTTCCAGTGCTTGTCCAGTTGCTGTCAACTCCTCTCGACACTGTCGCAGCAGACAACCAACCTTCCCGTAATTTTCAGCAGATCAGTTGTCATTTTCAACCTCTTCCAGCAGCCCGCCAGCACCTACGGCTCCGCTCTAGCAGCCTCCTGTACTTGTCGTCCTCCCTTTTTTACGCTACAACTCTTGCTGTCCTTCTTTTTCCAGCAGCCATCCGCACCTGCTGCTCCCTCCACTTACATCCGTGGACCACACCCATCTTACTACGACATTCACGGCCATTATTCTTAAGCTTAGCCAGATCTTGCTAATCTTGTCGTCATTGTCTTGTTTTCCATTATTGTTTGAGCCTTAATTGTACTTCTAGTTGTTCGTTTAATAGTACTCGCGTCCGTCGTCGTGGGTTGAGTTAACTCCAACACACTTAAAATTCTCCTTCAACCATGCATATTATATAAACTTTCTCCCATTCTAAAGTTACGATAAGTTATTTTGCCCTCATTTAAATTCTAGTTTCACCATCTCCCATTCTTAAGTTAGGATAAGTTATTATACCCTCATTTAAATTCTAGTTTCATCAGCGCATGTAAGAGTTAATGTAGAATGATCAAAGACTTTAGGGGAACTAATTTGGATTGACGGAGCAAGATTAGGTGCAGCCCAAATTTCACACAACTTAAATTAACATAACCTTGACCCGTTTAAGCCTGATACTAACCCACTTATAACACGACTAATCTGAATAGAAATAAATTAAAGAAAAAAAATTAATACAATAGGAAACCGTTTAAGCCTGATACTAACCCACTTATAGCACGACTAATCTGAATAGCTTCTTTAAAATAAATTAAAGAAAAAAAATTAATACAATAGGAAACTTAATGCACGATAAGAAGCAGCTTATCAAATAATAAATGTGAAGTAAAGGAAATAAAGTTTTATATAAAAAAAACTATGAGTCAACAGATCAGCCGGAGCCTGACCAAAAATTAATTGGGTTAGAAGAACCCCATTATAATTGTCATGATTTATTATACATTGATTGGAGTATAATGAATGAAATTACCAATTAGAATCATTAAGATTTCAATGAACATTGCGAGCAGAAAGGACCCCTTACTTGATTGGTTTAAATAAAATCATCCTTGTAGATGGATTCTGCAGATAGAGCTTCATTTTTGCTATAACTTTGGGTAATTCTTGCTCAAGATTCTCACTAACCTATCAAAAAAATCAAAAGCTTAGGATTTATCCTATCCAATGAAGAAATAGAAAGCAAGTTTTCTTGCCTTTTGAATTAGTTCAACTATCCTGTCCGGAGTAGCAAATGCGTGAGAACGCAGTGGTTTTGCTAACACTGAATTTTCTTTTTTATCCTGAGCACCTGCAGACAGCACAGCTTTCACTGCTGACACCTGAAAGAAAAATCGTGCAGTTCTCACCAGCTTTTCATTTACATTTCAGGAACAGAGATTCAACTTTTATTTTTTTCTAGAAGGTAATAAAAAGACATAAAGTAACACTAATCCAAGGTATTTATAAAAAATATATAGGGCTTAAGAGAGCTTAAATTGCCACAATAATAGCCAGGTTTTAAATTTTTTATTCTAAAATCCGAATAACATTGTTGTTTAGAAGAAGCAGTTCTAATTTTCAATTTCCAAAACTTCGATTCGGAAACTGTGACATTCTGGGTAATGTTTTTTATTACCTTTGTAACAAATGAAAGCATGGGGTCAACAATTAGCTTCGTGACGGACATTATGAAATCCTCGCACGTAGTTTTGAGGCTTTTCTCTAACTCCTGCAAAGCAGATTCAAATTAATCTCCTGCAAAGGTGTAACAATTACTTATGAGATTTGCTAGCTCAAATATCACACTTAGTAAACCAAGCTAAGAGATTGACAGAAATATCTCCAATAAGGAATATAAATAAATTATATATAAGTTGAAACCTTAATAGAGAAACTAATGAGGAAGTTTGTTACTTTGCGCCTGTGTTAAAATTCTACACACCAAAACCAAAAAAAAAACATTGTAGATTAAGTAAATCAAAATGATTTCTAAATAATAAGAAAAAACCTCAGAAATTTTCAAAAAAGAGCAAATATTAACTTCAAGGAAGAATAAAGTGTTAACAAGACAATGAATAGCAATAAATTTGCATATTAGAAAATTGTATCTCTTCTAATGATTACCAAACATACATTAATAACCACATCTAGATATGTATTAAATTGATTATTTCAAGAAATAATTAGATTAAGAGAGAGATATGTGCAAGGCAGTGTGTAACGGGCGGACAATAGGTAGAACTCATTGCAAGTATGTGAAAAGGAAAAGAACGGTATAATTTGTATCATAATTAGTCAAGTAATAAAATTTAAAATTTGAAGTTGGGATGACCAAAACAAAATTCAAATTACATGGTGGTCAAGCAGCTGGTTCACAATTCTTTATTTACACTGGTTAATAAGAGGGCCATACCAAATAACAAATTGATTACCTTCTTAGCATCAATCTGACTCTCAAGAATCCGAGGAGTTAAGTTTAAAGCAAAGGAAGTTGATCTTGACCAGTCAAACAGAGATGCTTGACCTCTTAGAATCCTTCTTAAATGTTCCTGGAAAATAACAATCAAACACAATTAGCACAAAAAAAAACATTAAAGCAAAACGTAGAAATTTAAGGAAAAAAATAAGAAGCTGATGTTGAAATTTGTCATCTATAGCTAGGTGGTCCAGAAAGCCAAGTATTAGATGATTAATTAAAATAATTTTACCAAAATAAATGTCTGAATCTAAAAGTAATAATATTTCTTAAGCATATTCTCGATTAATCAACCCTCATAGAAATTTAAAAGCCTTTATTAGTCCCTACTTCTAAAAAGAAATAATGCAGAAACCAAAAGCACTTGTGAGACCCAATAAAATTTTGACTGATGCAGGATGGCTAGGGTTAGGATTTTCTAATATAATAAGAGCGTTATGCTGCATTTGGATCACACAAATGTACTTGAGATTTATAGAACAGAAATAGCTGAATAAACCAACTTATTTTCATTAAACAGTAATACGGGACTTAAATCCAAAAGATGAATAAACTGACCGACCAGCAAATGAGAGAAATCCAACTCCTTGTGAGTAACAGAAAACTCAATGTCAAAGGGCGCAATCTGGAAAGCATGACATTATTTATTAAAGGTTGGCATAAAAAAAAACACATCCTGACATCCCAAACAAAACGAAGTTGGCATAAAAAAAAAAAAACACATCCTGACATCCCAAACAAAACGAATAAAAGAAAAGGATACAATATGACACACCTGTTCCCTTAAAATAAGGAGGTGCTTGATAAGAAAAAGCCGCCCATCCATGGGAGAAGATTTTTTTGTTATGATTTTACTGCCATTCTGCATAAATAATGAAAAATATAAGGGTTGGATGAATCATACAAGGAACAGAGTTCTAAAGCTATAACGAAGTTACAGAAAATGAGCTTTTGGAGTGTCTACAAAGCTTGACAACTAACTTATTAACAAGACAAAAAATAAAATGTCCTCACAAATATCGTGTTTAAAGCAATTTGATGTATGAGATATGTCAACACTGGTATAATGCATATATAAAAAACAAAATTACAAGTATATGCATCAACGGACCCCCAAAAGAGCAAATGGCTATACAAATCCTGTTAAAGCAAAAAAAAATTAAATGATCACAGAATCTAAAACAAGCAGAAACAAAAACAAAAAAAAAAACCTAAGAAACAAAGCAATAAACTCCGATCAAAGTTGAACAGAGATAAGACTTCAATCTACAAAGTAAGAGAGATTAACAAAGCAAGCATCTGATAAAATCAAATCCCCTGACGCGCAAAGAGGATGCAGAAGATCATTATGCAAAATGATGTAGCCTTTGCACCCCCAAACTCTAGGTGCATTCAACCAGCATGTTTCCATCAAGCTTATTGCAAAGGCTTATCATTCTAGTATGGCAATTTTTTTTGGGAATGATATATTTACAGAATCCCCATGAATAAAATCAAACCTTTTTCCATAATTTTTCATAAGATTCCTCTTTCTTTTTCTTAAGCAAACACCCAAGAAGGCTTAGTTGATCCATGACTCATGTTTCAACTTTCTTATCCTTTGTGTTTGTTTCGAGAAAGACCTCTTTAATTCTGATTTTTTTTTCTTTTCTCTATTGATTCATTTCCGATCGATAGGGATCCATGGATCTACAGTTCAGGGATAAGCAAAAATGCCAAGAAGCTATATTTGTATTTGTCATTCTTTCATCTGCTTAAACTGATGAAAATCTGTAATCCATTCAACACCCCAATTGAAGAAAACTTAGCAAAATAGTCCTTATGAAAAATACTGATGAATATTGTGATAAAAACATGTACCCTTTAGCAAAGAAGGAAATAAATGATAGTAATCAAACATCTTTAAAGAAGCCAAATAATTGCAAACAATTTTCTGACAAAAATATCAGCAAGCAAGAACGCTTCTAACCAAAACAAGATAACATTTAATTAAAATGATAAAGGGTGAGCCAATCCACCATAATAAAGCCATATCTATCAATAGCCATCTGAATGAACATTATTCAATGCAAATAATTGATCGCTAAATAAAATTCGAACTCTTCTCTCGAGCCTTTTCTGTTAATATCGGAGAAAAATGAAGAGTTATTTCTCCCGAGGTGGATGAATTTCATTGTAACTAGGTTTCCTCTGATATAAGTTAAGGTTTACTAGAATCTAAGGTCTAGGTTTTATATGAGGGCAAGCACCCAAAGTTAATTAACCTCCGGTTCATGCGAGAATACTCTTGATTCAAAAAGTTTCTTGGTCTTAGATTTAGTGCTTGTATTTGATTTTGTACTTCTAGGCACTATTCTAGGGTGCCTAGAAGTAGTTTAGGAAGTGGATCAAGCGGGGAGTAGTTTTGCAGGGTAGCAAGGGAATGAGAATATGCAAGATCAACAACAATTGGAAGCAAATAGAATACTTTTGGTGACTGTCCAGACTGAAAACAGTGGAGATAACCACGAAACAATGGCTCCGAAGAGGCACAATTGCCAAGAGAGGTCCACCACCTATTTATGAATAGGCTGCAAACACATTACTTGCAAAATAAAGATGATAAAATAATTCTTAGAACATAAACTAGAGAATAAAATCTCCAAATGCATAGAACTAAAGCAAAAGTGCAAAAACCAAAAAAATATCAGCATATAAATAATTCCCTCTAAAAATAACCCTAATTATAATTTAAAATTAAATAAAAATAGGGCTTGCAAGAACGACTATCCTCGGCAAGCAAGAGAGTTCCCACTATAGATTCTTACGGGATGGGAATCTCATTTCCACGTTCCACCTGATCGACGAGTCCACAACTTCCGCATTACGGGATGCTTTTGCACCAAAGGATAAAAAAACCAACATAGTTTTAACTATTTGCAAGGGACCAAAATGGTAACATCAAAATATTAAACAGAAACAGATGTAATTTAGCAGAGTATATATAAAGAAACAATATTGGCAATTGACTGACACTCTCATTTGGATGAATTTACTTGGAAAAAGTTTCAGTGGCACATTACGAATTTAAATATAAATTAAACGTAAAATAAAGCTATATTTTCTGATTTCCATATATTGGAATTTCAACATAGTAATTAAAAAAAAAGATAAAATAAGATAAGTAGAGTTTATGTGACTATCTTGTTACATTCAATCCCATATCAAGCAATTCAAGATTGTAGAATAATGTGGATGCAAGGACCTCTACCACCCAAAGTTTTTTGTTGAATTACACATTAACAATAACAGAAAATTGCTTGCACCACGAAAAAGATAAAAGAAAATATCAAGAATAAAGATCGGAAAAGATTACTAACTTGTATGGAAATTGAACAAAATTCTACCGCTTCCTGTGAAACAAATAAAGTCATCAATAAATTACATTAGATAACAAACTTTTTTTCCGATAAAATTATAAAATAAAATAAAAATGAAATAAAAGATCTGACAAACCTGTGCTAAACCAGTAAAAATAGCGGGTTCTAGGCAATGGTACAACTTCGACAGGCATGATACTGTTCTCTCCAAAGGTGGGTACCATGTTCCAATAATGTTTGAGTTGTCATCAACCTGTAGTTTAATCAAAACATTTGAGATTTTTTTTCCGTATCCCAGATACAAGTTCATAAGTAAATTAAAAGATCAGCAGTCAAACTCGTCAAACAGTTGCATTTCTGAAATGAAAACTGTTTGAAAATGATTCGTGGATATTGCAAATAAATAGATAAACATATTGATGCTATAAAAGCACTGGTTATTAATACAGACATTTTCTAAGAAAACTTCACTTTTACCAGTGAGATTGCCGAAAAGACGAGATATTAGCATCTCTAAACACAAACTCCAAACTGCAGTTCTCAAGATGGAATTATTTTGTTTAAAACATGAAATTAAGCTATAAGAAGATTGCTCCCGACTATAAACTACATGCAATTTTTTTGCTGTAGACGATGTGTAAATATCAAACAACATATTTAATCCAAATTACATGAATAATCTCAAATTGATAAGAGGCTAACCTAAGAGTAGAGAGATCACAAAATCCCGCAATCAAAGGATTGAATAGGGACATGTTCCCGTCTCGCGAGGACCTGTACCGGGAAATTTCCTGCTACTTTGACAGTTACGATTTTTGTATACCAATATTGACAATATTTTGGCTTCTAATTAGGGTTTAATTTAGGCCTTCGTATAAATATATTATGTGGATCCTGATTGGAGGGACTTTTGCTTGGTTTATGGTATTTGGATATTTGCTTCTCCCTATTTCCTCTATTGGAGAGTTACATTCTTTGATTTCTCTCATGTGACAAGTTTGTAACCTGATTGAATCGAGGTGGTGGTCTGACACCTGAGTTAACCCAAACCACAATACAAATGCAAATATTGTTGCTGAAATTCAAAAGACATTACAAACAAAGACTCTTAATATAAGAAAGCAATGACACAAAATATAAGGACCTCCTGGGGCGAGGATCGACGGTGGTGGACTACATGTCGAGGTAGTAATAAAGGAGGGCAGAAGGTGGTAGAGAGGCTTAACAACAACTAGAGGAAGGTGAGTGTGTTGCTGGGCAACAAGCTGGAGGTAGTGAAAGGGGCGGCAGCAAGCCGGAATTGGGTGGAGCTAGCTGGACAAAAAGTGAGAATTGCAGGAGGGTGCGACAACAAGGTATAAGGCTGAGTAAAGATGGATGGTGTTGGAAAGGCTGGGACAGCAATGGTAGCAATAGAGAGGGTTGGAATCATGGAAAGGCAGCACGTGGGCCGTCCACAGGAAGGCGACAACAAGGAGAAGGGTTGGAGGTAAGGGCACAACAGTTTAAGAGAAGAGGAGAGGAGGTAAACGAATGCAAAAAAAACATTAATGTGGCTATTTTCCGGTGGTTACAGTAAATACAGAGGGAGTGGGAAAGTCAAGGATAATCACCACCTCAGACGAGAAACAGTCGAAGCACCACTCATCGTCGGATACAAGACTAGAAGAGAAAACTTGGATGCTGACGGCTGTCATGACAGAATTTGAACCCAAGCTTACCCAAAAAACAAAATAACATAAAAATAGTGTTCGGCTAATGAGTGGGCCCCACTCCAAATATGAGGGAATCATGCACTAAGGAGGTCTACCAGATTGCAATTCCAACTGGATTAAGTCGAACCCATGCAAAAATTGTCGTGCATGCGTGGGTTCTAGAACTCCTACGCTGTCAACAGCTCCCGTGGCACCTCAAGCGTCATCCGCCTCTGTCGCTTTAGTCTTCCAAAGTTGGGGAACTTCGACCATATCTGTGGAAGCTTCTCACTCCTCGTCGTATGACGTTAAGTCGACCACATTGATGGTAGCAAAATTGTTGCAATCTTTCAGGAACTTAATCATGCAGGCATTGTCATTCCAAAGCACATTCTGATATAATAGATATCTATCCACTTTTGGCACAACCTGAGCTAGAACTATGGATAGGCGAGTATTCTCATGAATCAGGTGTTGACCAATCACATCTGTAAACTGGTTCTCCCACTTCTCGTACTCAGCTAGATATGTCTGATAAACAAGTTTGTCGGGTGAATTCATCTATGGGACAAAATTTAAGGCATGTTGGACAACTCTCACTAGAAACAACTCAAGAGAGGTCTCCTCTTCTTCTCTGATAAAATATGGATCCCATCAAGAATTTTTTTCCCATCAAACTCCTAAGACAATTTTCAAAGTGGTTCCTCCTGTCTAGACATCTGAAGGTCTATACACTGCTGAACTGAATCTATTATCCAAATAACTCCATATAATCTTCCCAACGTGGCAGAAAAGAGTCTCTTTTCTGACGTGTTAGACCTCCCTCGATATAGGCGCTCGGGAAGGAGACTAAGGATTTGAAAAGTATGAATTTCATATATCTGGGGTTGTCGGGTGCTTGATGTCGATTCCTCAGACTTGAGACCATCTTGGACCACCAATGTAAATTCTGTTGGACTCTACCTTATGCCCTCAGCCGGAGCTACATGATTTTCTTCCTCATCAGTTGGAATATGATCATTCTTCTTTGTGTTCTCACCTTCTTCAATGTCAAATGTGTCATTGCTCCTTTATTCAACATCTCCCTGTTAAAAATATATCATCCTCCTTGTTGGGCAATTTTACTTCAACATGCCCAAATCTGTAACACTTGGAACACTTCCTTGTTGGGATGGATTTTAGAATGCGGATTAGGGCCCTCTATTATCCACTCTGTACTAGTGTCTCCTATGATAGGGTGAGCTTGGATGTTCTACTGGGTGTACTCTGGCGGTTAATATATTGAGTTTTAACCCTACTGTAAAATGTGACTGTCACCCAACAAACATAGTCTCTCCACTTCTGAAACATGAATCTGAACATCTGGTCTATAGTGAGCTCGTGGGAACTAGCACTGCATTTCCCATTTCATCTAGGACGATGTCGTATTTGTCTTTTCCCTCGTACCAGCATAGGTACATCAAATTTTCCACCAAATAATGCAATTTTCCTAAGCTTACTAACAACAGCTAGGTTTACCATTTTGTCTAGTGGGCCGTCTAAATATGTTAAATCCACCTTTATTTCCAAAGTCTAGCTTCTCATATATTTTAGGTCAAATCCCTAAATGTACCATTCCATTCACTTGATCTAGCAAATCACCAATGTGGCTATGTGTGACCCATCCAGATTGCCTCCTCTTTAAATTGCTAAGCCTTAGTTGCCGTGTGTAGGTTTTTCACTGCATATCAACCCTAAAAATTTCCTAGACACATATTAGTGAATCACTCATAAACATTATGTCATTTTCCCTCGATCAGGCTTCTGACGATTATCTCCCTGAAGGCATGGCTAATCTTTAGGCGTGGATAGGCGGAGGGAGGTAAGGATGAAGTAAGGTGGGAGAGAAAAAATTTAGATGAAGATAGGCTTGGGGTATGAAGAATGCTAGAAATCCTAGGACATGACTACGGTTAGGTAAGCTCTGATACCAAATGATACCAGAGTTAACCCAAACCACAATAGAAATACAAATATTGTTGTTGGATTTAAAAAAGATTACAAAAAAAGTCTCCTGAAATAAGAAAGCAACGACACACACAAAAGAACCCTGAGGGCGAGAGGTTGTAGAGAGGCTTAATAGCGGCAAGGGGAAGATGGTTGGGTGGTTGGGCAGCAAGCTGGAGACAGTAAAAGGTGCAGCAGTAAGCTAGAATTGGGTGAGGTTGGCTGGACAACAAGTGGGAGATTGCATGCTGGGTACAGCAACAAGGTAGGAGGTTGAGTGAAGGTGGAGGGTGTTGAGATGGCTGGAACAACAATGGTAGCAATAGAGAGGGTTGGAATCACAAAAAAGTAGCATGTGGGCTGTCCTCAGGGTTGACGACAACAAGGAGAAGGGTTGGCAGCAAGGGGACAACAGTTTGTTCTGTAAGAAAACATGATTGTTTTCTGGTGGTTGCAGCGAATACAGGGGCGGTGGTAGGAGATTTGCGGGGGAGTGGGAAGGTCGAGGATAATCACCACCTCGAACGAGATATAGCCAAAGCACCACTAGTCGTTGGATACAACTGAACCACAATTGTCACAAAACATTGGAAATAATATATAAATAGTGTTAGGGTAAAGAGAAGTGGGCCCAACTCCAAATATAGGGAACTGTGTGATAAGGAGGTTTGCTCGATCCCAATCCCGCTCGGATCGAGTTTAACCCATGCTGCAATTGTCGCACCAAAGTGGCCTGTGCCAGTCCTGGCACCGTTGTGTTGTCTCCCGCTCCCGTGACGCCTACTCCCGCATCATATGCCGCTCCCACATCATCCGCCGCTCCCGATTTATGGTATTTGGATATTTATTTCTCCTTATTTTCTCTATTGGAGTGTTGTATCTTTTGATTTCTCTGACATGATAAATTTGTAAACTGATTGAATCAAGTTGCAGTTCTCTATCGAACATCTGAACGCCTTTTTTATCGCTGATTTCACAGCTTACCTGTGGTTTGTCCATTCCAGCTTGCTGTCCAACCACCGATACTTCGATTTCTCAGCCGACATCAACTTCCCACCCTCTTTTCTCATCCTACAACTTACGTAACCCCTCTCTTAGTTATCCCAAACCATCCAGCAACCCTAGATCAGTGTCAAAGGCATACTTGGGTAATAGCACACAAGACTACTTGGTATTGGAATTTTAAAAATACAGTTGAATTTGGACAAAGAATGATAATATGTTTAACTAAACAAGTAGAAAAACAAAAGGCATAAACACAAGTAACGTATCAACCACTACAATAGTGTGGAACGCAGATTAAAAGTACTGTATAACTAAAGAAAGAGCTCGGACCCTTTTGTGAATCAAGACCAAAAAAGCAAGCTTTCTTCTTCAGGAAAAACAGTAAGATTCATCACTCCAGGGAAAACATTTTCTACACTCATGCATTAGAGTGGGCAGAAGCTTCTTTTCGAAATGAGCTTCAATATGCTCTTAAAGATATTGTTTTCAACAAGAAGAAAAATCAAAAAAAAAAAGACTAACAAATAAGTAACCTACCGTGTTATCTGATGTATTTGCAGCATGTTGTTCCATTCTTGCAGGGTAATCAAGATCTTCATCAGAAGGACGGTAATTTGCAATCTGCTCAATCACATCAATAAGAAAAATAATTCAAAAATGAGAATTTGATTGGTTGTTAGCCGCTAACCATATGATTAATGGTGTATAACCCGTTGATTTTGTCTAAGTAGCAGCCAAATCAAGATTATCAAACAACTTGATTTTCCAGATAACCCATTTAATCACTGTTTACAATTAATCAAACCAACCAAAAAAATTGGTTAAAGCAAATGCATCACTTATATCTCCACGCGAAATCTAAATTTAAGAATTAAAACTCACATAAGCTTCTATAACATTTAATTGTCTCAATATTCGTCATAAACCCCGCAGACCCAGCATTGAGAAAAGCCTCAAGGTAACATATATGCCCTTTTTTCAGGCATCTATACTTCAAGCATGCAGATTAAAATTCAAACTACAATTTTTTTCTAAAACAGTACGGAAGCTACAACAGATTTCTAATTAATTTTATTTTCAACTTAAAACACAAATGCATGTATCCTATGTTATAAATATAAAAAAATTTGAATTTTTTGAATTAGACTAAATAAAAATTTAAAACCTACACAACCTAGAAAAAAGGCTTTCCAGCGATTGCAAGAGAAAAAAGTATCACAATCCTCTGCCAAGCAACCTATCAGAATATTAGCATATCATGTTATACCATACTTTAGTCTCCAAAGCAATAAATTAAAATCATGGTTAGTTGATTCAGGAGCCTTAGAACATTTGTCTAGAGACATCAACATCTTCAAAAATTACAACCCCTCTAGTAGTCATTCTTCAATCTGAATAGCTGATGATTCATGCTCACCAATAGCAAGAGATGTGAGCATGAATCAATCGAATTAACAAATGATCTTCACCTCTACTCTACTTTTTATGTTCCAAAATTAAGTTGCAACGCACTCTCAATTAGTGAACTTACTCGTGACCTAAAATGTATATCTAAATTTTAATCCAATTGTTGTAATTTTCAAGTTGTGGAGTCGAGGATAGTGATTGACAAGTCTGAGATGCATGGAGCCTCATAAAGTTGGAGATGTATTCAGTCAAGTTAAATTTTTTAGTCGAATTCAAATTATGATTTTGTTGAAAGTCTATTCATATTGAGTCATTATCGTCTTGGTCATCCAAATTTTGCGTACATAAAAATGATATTTTCACATCTATTTATCATCAAAAAATTTATATTAAAAAGAAAGGGGTGCAGATAGGTTGTCTGGGTGGACCAAAATAGGCATCCAACCCATACGGTACAACACAAAAAGAAAAAGAAGAAAATTAAAAACCCAAAAGTAGATGGTACATAAAAGATCAACCAGGTCGATTCACTTCAGTTTTGTCTCTGCCTCTAATTCTCGGAAATGAACCAGCTAACAGATTGGTGAGGTGTGTACCATTACCCGAAGTAACCACAATATCATCCATCAAATTCCTGAGCTTAAGTAGATCTTCATTCTTTTTCTTCCTCCTGGATGTGTAAATCTGTAATTCCTGATCCGATGATTGACTCATCTGATCAGTGGATTAGAAAAAATGCCAATAGTTGTGCCAACAAGTGTATATGAGATAAGAGTTGTCGCCTCTACCCCCTGATACTTCCTGAAAGTGGGGAGTTGCAAGGTTCTCCTGATTATCAGTCTGCGTAAGTAGGGGTCCTTCATTATTGTTTTCAATAGGGTTTGAAAGTATAGGTTGCTCAGCAGAGCCATCTAGCTTCTCATTGATCGCAGAAATAGTATTTTCAGGGGGATGGTCCACAGGGGCAATAGAATCAGACAACAAATCCTGTCCTGTGGTAGTTTGCTCTCCAGGTGGAACAAATATATCCTTAGATTCATCCTTATTCACTTGATCTTTAGAGTTCAAATTAGGATGAAGTTTATGGCATTTATCAAGGATATGCCCAAACATCTTACAATGAGAACAATAAGGAGATCTATGCTCCATGATAATTTGTCACAAATATCCATTGTGTTGTGCCCAACCAGACTTCAGTAACATCAAGCAATCTAATCTTTTTCCACAAGTATTTTGGCCACAGAAAGTTTGGTAATAATTTGTCACAAATATCCATTGTGTTGTGCCCAACCAGACTTCAGTAACATCAAGCAAAGTAATCTTTTTCCACAAGTATTTTGGCCACAGAAAGTTTGGTAAGATTGAATGTGGGTAGATCTAGCTTCATAGAGTCCCCAAGTATGGCACCAATAGAGTAAAAAACCTGATGATGAAAAAAGAGCAGCTTGAGACTAGGTACACTAAACCATATCAGTACATAAGAGGTTCATGATTGGGGTCAAAATCAGGAGACCACTTGAATAGTTTCATATGTTTACCAGTGACGTTAATATATTTTCTGGAGAAAATCCGAGTGTAGTCCTCAGACAGTTAACTGAATCAATACATGTCTCTCATCCATGAGCCCCACTTTCCACTTTTCTATTAATTTGAGGTCATCAAAACTTTTCAATTGGCTAAAAAAAATACATTCTTTATGAGATGTGTCCCTATTGAAATTTCCCAATAAGGGCAAATTTGAATTTGTCAATCAGTGTTGAAATTTCTGACGTGAAGAAAAAGAATGTTGTCTTCCCAATTTTTCTGCTTGCATTCTTAATAAAGGGGCAGTCATCTGTATCATCATGATGCTCCTTATAACTTGAAGGGAAGACAACCGTCGTCTCCCCCAAAAGATTACCCACCATGTGGGCAAAAGAGGTTTTGTCAGGTTCAACCGAAGAAGAAGGAAGCTCTATCACAGCAAAGAGAAACCCTGCAAGTCGGGCAGAGGGCAAAAAAGACGAGCCGAAGAGTTCGGGGTGAAGCTGCGTAGAAGACAGGAACCGCAAATGCAATGCGCAGAAGACAGCGCAAAGAAGACGAAATCGCAGCTCGGCAGACACATAAGCACAGCTCAATCCGCGCAAAAAAGATGAGCATGCAATAATAATATGGACATTCCTTATGACAAAAATCCGAAACAATCATCATATTTCAATCCTTTCATTCCATGATTTTCACTCAATTCCAAAGCAAAATTCAAATTCTTAAAACTGATAATATTAAAACTACTTTAATTCTGTCATTAGTTTTTATCTTCCCAAACAGGGTATTATCCATATAAGTTCTTATGTGAACACTTCTTAACAAAATGGGATCACAGAAAGGAAAATGGACACTTACTTGAAATGGGCCATGTCATTATGTTGTTTAATTAAGTACCTATACATTTTTTTGAATAAGTCATTCCCACAACCACATATCTCATCAATAGGATGCCTAGTCAAAACCCTAAAAAATCCCTCGTAATGTTCTCATGGAATTCTACCAACATATTTGTTCCTTTTCTTCTGACTTACCATTGAAGATTTTTGGTTCTGCATTTGTCCACATCCAACAATAACACCATACCAAACTTAATCCCAAGTCTTTCATATCCATTTTTTTTTATTTACTCATCTAATCAAAAAGGATACAAATGGTATTCTCCAACCACTATGAAAATCAACAACTCTATAGATGTCACCTTCTTTGAGAATAAATCATATTCTTCCTAAACTAAATTTCATGGGGAGAATTCTAAGAAATATCCTATTTGGGATTTTTTAGAATATACTCTAGTCATTCTTCATTTAATTGAACAAAATCATGTACCTTAACAATCTTCGCTAGTCTTTATACCTCAACCGGCTTCAGCTGAAGAACCAAACTTTGTCATAGAAATAGTCCCAACCATCTCTACTCCACCTTAACATGCACCAATGATCAAGAATTTCGTATCTATGCCAAAAAAGAACCACTGAAAATGTAAATGACACTATAAATGTGGATGAAATATGTGAAATTTTCATTAATGTGATTTCATGTTTTATTGCATATTTATGATAATATTAGACTTATGAAAGGTATTTTGTTATGTTTTGTAGATTACAATGGATTAAATCACTTGGGGAAGCAAAAGAGGCAAATTAAAGAGCCAAAAGAGTGAAGAAAGAGATTCAGATATGGCGGATCAGCTTCCAAAGCCAGTGCACCCGCCCTTAGAGTTCTATGACTACAGCCTTAACAAAAAGAGTTTAGCACCATTTTGAAAAAGTAGTTGCTACCAAAGTTTATGAACCAGATAGTTTTACACCCGCTTGTGCCATAAGAGACAAATTTGTTGGGAAAGCTCTCTAGGACTTAGGAGCTAGCATAAATCTTACATCCTATCCATTTTCAAACAACTGAGAATAAGGAAAAGTTCTTCCCACTACACAGAACCTTCAGTTGGCTGACCATTCTTGGCCTACCTGAGGGGAATCATAGAGGACGTATTGGTTATGGTTGACAAACTGATATTCACTGTCAATTTTGTGGTCCTAGACATAGAGGAGGAAAAGGAAATACCCTTGATTCTTGACCGACCCTTTTTAGCAACATGAGGGGCAATGATTGATTTTCAGAAGAAGAAATTGACCATGAGAGTCAATAATCAAAAGATGACATTTAATATTTTAAAATAATTAAAATTTTCTAAAGACTATAGTGATGATCAATGCAATAGAGTATATGTGATGGAATTATGAACCAATTTTTTGAAACTGTGAAAGTGCACTTGGTAGAGCAAACATTGGTTGAGGATTGTAGAGAGACATCTAAAGAAGAATCAGCTTTACTATTAGAAGCAAACCCTAGGAAGTTCAGGGAAAAATTGGAGCCCTTAGACATGACCACTAATGCCAAGCTTTTAGAGCCATCCACAGAGGTAGCGACTGAGTTGGATTTGAAGGTCCTGCCAAATCACCTCAAGTATGTTTTCCTAGGAGAGTCCTTTGCCTTGCCAGTGATCATTTTTTTGTGAAAAAGTGTCATGATCAAAAGCTGATTAGGAAGAAATTTCAACCTAGAAAAGAGATATTGTTACATAATTTCTGATTGAAATTATTTCCCTAAAAATTAAAGTCTAGGTGATCAGGATCGCTCACTGTAGTAAGTGAATCTATTTGAGGCCGTAGAAAATCAGGGTAGGA